AACATGTGTGAAGAGTTTTGAAGACTTTGGTCTACATCTGCGTTAAGAAAAGGACATACAAACCTTTGCAGACTGCAGTCTTAAAAAACAGTCTGAGAAGCTTAATTTCTATGCATGGTCTGCACTAAAGATGCCAAAAAAAAAAATACTTCAAAAAAACACGATTTCCATCTGTACTAGTCAAATAGAAAAAATGAAAACTAATATGTAAACGATATTGATAAAGATACAGACTTTTAGGGTGTTGAAAAAATGAAGTAGTTTACAAATTATATAAGGTTTGACCAAGCTTAGCCTCAGCGTAGGTTACAAGTTACAGTTGCCAACAACTACAAATGAGTCGACGAACATTTGAAAATGACATAACTAGAGACGTATCCATCAAATCTCTATAAATACCCACAAAGTCGACACCAATACCCAACCATCAACCTTATCGTGACACCCAAAACATCATGGATTCAACGAGTCGCCTTTCCTTGATCCATATTATCATCTTCTTTGTTTTCTCTTCTTATGTCATACCAAACCCATATGTAGCTTCTGTCACTTTAAGTATTGACACAGATAAACAAGCCTTGATCTCCATCAAATCTGAAACAAGCACCCAACCCCCAGATGCTTTAGCTACGTGGGAACCAAACTCCTCCCCATGCAACTGGACACGAGTGTCATGTGGTGAAGGTGGCCGGAGAGTGGTTGGTCTTGACCTCTCGGGGCTTCAGATACCTGGTCCACTTAGCCCCGACATCGGAAACCTATCCAACCTGACATCACTTCAACTCCAAAATAACCGATTTGTTGGAAAAATTCCTGAAACATTCACCAACCTTTTTCGCCTTCGAATCCTCAACATCAGCACCAACAACATCGAAGGAAACATCCCAGCAAACATAAGCCGATGCATCCAGCTCAGGGTTGTTGACTTCATGCAAAACCAACTTTCTGGTTCGATTCCTGAAGACCTCACACGCCTCGTTAATCTTCAAACTCTCAACTTGGCAAAAAACCATCTTTCTGGTTCTATTCCACCCTCCATCGCTAACCTTTCTTCACTCTCCACTTTAAACTTGGGAACCAATACACTTAGTGGCCCAATTCCTAGCGACTTGTCTCGTATTCCGAATCTAAAGAATCTTGATCTCACCATCAATAATCTCACCGGCACAGTTCCTCCATCCATTTACAACATGTCTTCGCTTGAGTCTATAGCTTTGGCTTCTAACGATTTGTGGGGTGATATACCTTACAACGTTGGGGAAACACTCCCAAATCTTTTGGTTTTCAACTTTTGCATCAACAGATTCACAGGCACTATTCCGGGTTCGTTGCACAACCTCACGAACATAAGAATCATCCGAATGGCGCATAACAGATTGCATGGGACTGTGCCACCGGGACTAGGGAACCTCCCTGAGCTAGAAATGTATAATATCGGGTACAATAATATTGTTAGCGAACAAGGTGAGGGTCTTGGTTTCTTGAATTCTTTTGTAAATAGTACAAAGCTTGATTTCCTAGCTATTGATGGCAACCATTTTGATGGTGTTATTCCGGAGTCCATAGGCAATCTTTCCAAAACACTTAGAATCTTGTACATGGGTTCGAACAGGATATCAGGTAGAATCCCACCCTCGATTGGTCAACTAAAAGGCTTAGGTTTGATAAACATAAGTTACAACTCGATATCTGGTGAAATCCCGTCGGAGATAGGCCAATTGGAGAACTTGCAGGTGCTTGTTCTAGGAAAAAATAGATTGTCTTCGAATATCCCAAATTCATTGGGTAATCTTCGGAATTTGAGTGAAATTGATTTTTCAAGTAATGAGTTGGAAGGAAGCTTACCTATCAGTTTTAGGAATTTCGAAAAGTTAATTTCCATGGATTTGTCGATGAATAAGTTTAATGGGAGTATTCCAGGTGAAGTTCTTGATCTCCCAAGTTTAACCACCATCCTCAATCTTTCTGGCAACTCATTAACAGGCTCTTTGCCTCGACAAATCCAGAGTCTCGAAAGAGTGGTAGCAATTGATCTCTCCAACAATAATTTATCGGGTAGCATTCCAGAGTCGATCCAGAATTGTAAGAGCTTGGAGCAGCTGATCCTCTCAAAGAATTCTCTCTCAGGCAATATTCCAAATAGTTTGGGTGAAATAAAAGGTTTGGAAACACTCGACCTCTCTTCCAATCAACTCTCCGGTTCTATCCCTGTCGAGCTTCAAAACTTGATGGCCCTCCGGTTTCTAAACCTTTCGTTCAACAACTTGGAAGGGAAAGTTCCTAGTAATGGGGTTTTCTCAAATCTCACAAGTGTTCATCTTCAAGGCAATCAAAAGCTATGCTATGATTCCAAATGCACAAAAGGTGATAGTGACACCCACAAAGCAGTTGTGATCTCAGTTGTCGTAATCTCTTCACTAGTAGCGATATTGATTCTATCAATCGCTTTGTTTTTCTACTTCCGTAGAAACAATGTTATGATCATGGACAGTTCTGATTCCTTCAAGGGCCAACATAAAATGGTGACATATGAACAGCTACGTTCAGCAACAGGGAACTTCAATGAGGACAACCTGATTGGACGTGGGAGTTTCGGGTCTGTCTACAAAGGGTGTCTCAACCTCGAAGGAAGATCCATGGAAATCGCTGTGAAGGTTCTTGACATGGAAACCACTGGATCATTGCCTAGCTTCTTAGCCGAATGTGCAGCGCTGCGACATCTCAGGCACCGGAATCTTCTCAAGCTGATTACTTCCTGCTCCAGTTTGGATCACAAGAATATGGATTTTCTTGCGTTGGTCTATGAGTTTGTGAAGAATGGGAGTTTAGAGTACTGGATCCGGAACAAAATGGGTTTTCTAGAGAGATTAAAGGTGGCAATTGACGTAGCGAGTGGATTGAGTTATCTTCACCATGAATGTGTGGTGGCTCCGGTGGTGCACTGTGATCTAAAGCCAAGCAATGTTCTGCTAGATGAAGATTTGACTGCAAAAATCGGAGATTTCGGGCTTGCTAGCATGTTGGTTGACAAAGATAAATCTTTTAGCTCTTCCCATGTTCTTAAAGGATCCATGGGTTACATACCTCCAGGTGAGTTCATTATTCGGTACTAATCTCATCTTCTATGGTTGGACAACATTGTTGAATGATTATATGTTAATTGCAGAGTATGGAATGGGAGCAAAACCATCGACCAAAGGAGATGTGTACAGTTACGGTATAATGCTGATGGAGATTTTCACCGGGAAGAGCCCAACAGATGAGAGCTTTGTCGGTGGTTTGAGTTTGAAAACTTGGGTGCAGTCTGCTTTTCCGGCTGATTTGGATCAAGTGTTGGATCCTGAAATGCTTCACCAAAAGGATGAGTCATGCTCGGATGGTCGAACCAGGAGCCTGAAGATACAACTTGACTGCCTCAAAACGGTCATTGAGATTGCGGTTTCTTGCACCAACAATTCTCCGGAACGACGGATCACCATAATTGAGGCTCTCCGCAGACTCAAATGTGTTCAGGATCTGTTTCACAAGCATAGTAGCTAAATGAAGTCCACGTGGTGACGAACAACTGGACGTGTGTGAAAAGTCATACTATTTTAGTTATTAAACAATAACGTATAAAACATTCACCATTATGTTTGCTATAAGGTTAAAAAAGAGCCCTACCACTCTTAACATTTTGTGACGTGAGTTTTTTTATTATAATTTTTTTTATTTAGCATTTAATCTTAGTATTTGTAGGAATTGGTAACCCTCCTAACACTTTAATTTTTTTTTATTTTTATTTTTATTTTCTAATTTAATTAAATTACTTTATTTTAATACACAAACATTTTTTTTACATAAATATTAAACATTAAATTACTTTATTTTAATATACAAATATTTGTTTCAATGATAAATTCAAAAAAATTATATTATGTTTAACATGACAAAAACATTTTGAACAACTTTTACCAACAAGTGAGGGTAAGAATATATAAATGTTCTCATTAATTATATTAATTACATTAACAACAATGTCAAATTTAAGTAAATAATAAAAAGCACGAATGTAGAGAGACAAGAAATGGAATAACATATTATCATCTCATTATAATCAACAAAACCTTTTAATCTACAAAACTTTTTGTTTGCTCGCAAGTATGCTTCAATCATAGGCACCTAAAACCAAGTCAAGAGAGAATTAGTTGGAGTTGAAAACTTTCTTTTTGAATATTCAAAGACACATGTTTAAAAATATGACCTTAAAATGATTTGAAATATCTTATTAAATAAGAGAGACATTACCAAAGAACTCAACAAATTTGCCAACAACACCATGCTTTCTCAACATTTGGGTCATGGTTAACAACAAATCAGTAATTGATGACACCGTTTTGCAACTTTCTAGACAAATTGAAGTCAACAACACCATGCACAACTATGTTAATAGGTTGTTAACAAATCAATAACCATATAAATTAGATAATAATCAAAATACTAAATGAGTTGGATCATCGTTGAAGTGGTATACTTGTCCAGTGAAATCCTAGGAAGATATCATGAAATAAGAAATGAATAAAGGAATGCAAATTTATATACTTGTATTAAGCAAATATATCCTTATATTAAAGCAAAGTAGACCAAGCAACTAAATATGGTTCAAGACTTTCGTCGAGCAACTTGCGTGCAGTCCAGAAAACCTGACACTTTGAATACAAATTGACTAAATGATTCTTATGTTTTGGACCATTCTCCAATTAAATTTTGATCAGGTAGCTCTCATAACATGATTTAATCGAAAGAATTTAAGCAAAAAAAAACCTCAAGAGAACAATCGATTGTGGTAACAATTGCAGATGTGAGATACGAACGAGTGATAATAGGTATCTGTTTGTACCAGTCCTCCCGCTTGGGCCAATTTTAACCATGCTTTCTTCAAGAAAAAACTAAACCAATTAACCAAGTTTCAACAGCTTCTAATCTCGAAAATCAACAATCTAGTGTAGATAAGAACTTGAAGCAATCTGGATTTATAAATTGCAACGGGCATAATGTTGATTTTTGCAATTGCGTCTATAATTCTACAAGATACGGGAATGTTATCAGGAAGAAAAGCATATGCGGATCGGAGTGAAAATTATGAACTCATTTGATGGACCAATCATATTCGTTTCTCACATTCTCTCTCTTCTCGCCAACACATTGATGAGTCTCCGGTGGCGAGCCCCCTAACGAGTGCTAGGGGGCGGTGTTCTCTTCCTGTTAGCAAGCGTAGCAACGAGGTTGCGAGCCCCCACTCTGTTCAGCCTAAAAGATTGTATATAGAATTTCTAAGAGATGGCCATTTTTATTACGTAAAGGTCTATGCGTTGTACGGGTAATTTTTTTTTAGAAAAACATAAAGGGCAAAAGAATATGATAGACGAAAATGATGAAGAATAAAAAAGGGGCTGAATTTAGCAACTTTTTAGAAAACATATGACAAAAGTCTGAACGTTAAAAAGTTCGAGTTGACAATAGAAGATAAAAAAATATCAAAATAGAAGAATGATGGAAAATAGAAAACCAAATTATAAATGAATTAAAGAAACGAAACACTTTTGAGAAAATATAAAAAACATATGAGAAAAGTCACAAATGAATCTTTTTAGAAATAAAAAATAAATGACATCAAAATATGGTAGACAAAAATAACAAAGAATAAAGAAAAAGGGTTGTAAAAAAGTAAAAGTGAAAGTTTAGTGGCAAGAGTGTAAAGAAGTAAAAGTGAAATGACAAAATTATAAAGTGGGAAAATTTCCTGTTTAAACGTCCCAT